ATGAAGGGCAGCTGGGAGGGAGAGGGATCCTGGTGAACAGAAGAGGGGGCAACAAAAGGGGAGACACTTCAGATGGACTGGTTCAGAGGAGACAAATTAAGGGGAGCGAGTGTAGGGACAAAAAGGGGGGGTTCAGGGATGACGGGGCAGAGGGAGAAGCAGCAATGAGAGTCAGCCAGCTGTGGGGAACAGGGCAGACTGTAACAGTGGCAGCAGAGGAGACACAGGTGTGGGAAGAGAAAGAGAAATAAATCAACAGAAGTTCAAAGAAAAGCAAACAGCCTTTGACACAGGACACATGTTTTACCTGAGAAGCAGCCATTTGGTCCTGATCAGGGTCTGGTTTGTTTCCTCAGGTGACAAAATGTTGAGGAGTCACAGAATGTGCCTTCAAAGTAGTCAGCATGAATTCTTGCACCTGGCATCTAGTTATTAACAATGAACTACAATGTTAGCAAATGACTGATTACTATAATTGTGTTGCATTCAATTCCCTTACATGCCTTAAGCAAACTTTTTCCCCTCCAAGGACACAGTTTTTCCTTTAAAGGATTTCCAAATTTTAGAAACAGAATGTAAAGCCATCAATTAAGTGGTTCACATAAAAGAGAGGCATCTTTACCTGAGATTCCCAGCAGGCCTGCTCTGACCTGCTCCAGCTCCATGCACCACAGGTTTCTGGGTATTGAAAAACTGTTCACATGCTGACTTCTTTAAGAGTCAGCGCTTCCACATAGGTCAGCTAACTCTGAGCACATTTATTCTCACACCTATTAAATATACACAGTCCACAATTAGAGCTCTCACTACAGTAAAATTCTCTGTAGAAAAGAATCTTGGGGACCCAAAGGTAGAGATGAAATAACTCTTTTCTAACCTTTTACTTTCATGCTGTGTCTTTTGATCTGAAGTGGGTCTCATTTAGACAGCATATGTATGGGTTTTATTTTCCAACCCATTCAGCTACCCTGTGTCTTCTGGTAGAAGCATTTAATCCTTTTATATATGTACTAGAGGCTTGGTCCACAAAAATTTGTGCACTCGGGGGGGTCCCTCAGCCGGGCCTAAGCCCTCTTGCAGTCTGGGACCTGTCAGAGGATGTCCACCTGCTGGTTTAGGCCCACTCCCTTGGGGATCAGGCCCAACCTGGCAGTCAGACATCCCTCTGGCAGCCCAGCAGCCCTTGGGGGATATCCACTTGCCAGCAGGGAGCAGGCCTAAGCTGCAGTTGGACATCCTTAGCGCTGCTGAGGCGGGAGAGGCTCCCACCACCACCACTGCTGTACTGGCAGTTGTCAGCCTGGCTTGTGGCTGAGCAGAGCTCCCCCTGTGGGAACACACTGACCACCAGTGGGCACCTCCAGCATTGAGCATCTGCCCCCCGGTGGTCAGTGGGTGTCATAGTGACCAATGATTCTCAGTCGTTCCGCTGTTAGGGTCAGTTTGCATATTACCCTTTTGTTATATAGGATAGAGGCCTGGTTCATGGGTGGGGGCCAGCTAGTTTGCCCTGAAGGGTGTCCCAGATCAGGGTGGGGGTCCCGCCGGGGTGCCTGGCCAGCCCTGGTGAGGGGCTGATGGCTGTCTGCAGAATGGTCAAGCCCCTGTGCCCAGTGGGGACCCTCACTCCATGGAGGTTTGGCCAGCCTGGGTGAGGGGTTGATGGCTGTTTTCAGGCTGGCCACACACGCATTAGGGTGGGGGGTACCTACTGGGGTGCCTGGCCAGTCTGAGAAGCTGAGGGCTGTTTTCAGGTGGCCAAGCCCCCTGGCGACGGTAGCTCCCAGCCTCTCCTTTTCTTCTTTTTTATTCTGAGATTTATTTACCTTCTATAATTGAAATTTTGTAGCCTTGAGAGGAGCTCAGAGCCAGCCAGGGCGGGCGGGAGGGAAGCTTCCTGCTCACTCCAGCTCCATGGCCACAGCCAGCTGAAAGCAGGTATCCGGGGTTTATTTACCTTCTGTAATTGAAACTTTGTTGCTTTGAGTGGAGCTCAGAGCTGCCACGGCAAGTGGGAAGCTTGGCTTCCTCCATCATTGGGGCAACCAAGCCTCCTGCTTGCTCCAGCTCCATGGCTGCCGGTCGCCATCTTGGTTGGGTTAATTTGCATATAGTCGTTCTGATTGGCTGGTGGGTGTGGCTTAAGGCATAGCAAAGGTGCAGTCAATTTGCATGTTTGTCTTATTAGTGTAGATTTTTAATATATTTTATTAATTTTTTACAGAGAGGAAGGGAGAGGGATAGAGAGGTAGAAACATGGATGAGTGAGAAACATCGATCAGCTGCCTCCTGCACACTCCCGACTGGGGATGTACATGCCCTTCACCAGATTCGAACCTGGGACATTTCAGTCCGCAGGCCAACACTCTATCCACTGAGCCAAACCGGTTAGGGCAATCCATTTATATATATACTGGAGGCCCAGTGCATGAAATCATGCACATGTAGGGTCCCTAGCGGCCACCTGCTGCCACTGTGGGAAGGGCCTCCCGACCCCCCCGCCTCCTGCCACCTGCAGCCACTGCTGCAGCTGGCCCTGCGCCGCCCCCGCCCCCCCCCCCCCCCCCCCGTTCAAACTCCTGGTCAAATTCCAGGTTGATGGGACAATTTGCATATTAGGCTTTTATTATATAGGATATTTTGAATATATTTTATTGACTTTTTACAGAGAAGAAGGGAGAGGGATAGAGAGTTGGAAACATCGATCAGCTGCCTCCTGCACACCCCCTACTGGGGATATGCTGCAACAAAGGTACATGCCTTTGAGTGGAATCAAACCTGGGACCTTGAGTCCGCAGTCTGACGCTCTATCCACTGAGCCAAACCGGTTAGGGCCCATTTATATTTTAAGTGATTATTGACAGGTGAATAGCTTTTGACATTTTTAAATTAATACATTCATAGTAAGGGACTTTAGCTTCCCATTGACATCAATGGACAGTTCTCCCAGACATAAATCAATAAGGAAAAAGTGGTATTAAATGACACATTACACAAAATGGGTTGGATAAGTTTACACCAGAGATTTTCTACTGAAGTGTCACACAGGAAAACTGGTGTGCTGCAAGAATTTTTAGAACAAGCAACATCTGACTATTTAGTAAGGAGCACAAACTACATTATCCATAAAATGTCTAATAATATATATGACAACAGGCAACAGAGTAACAGCTGTGTGGTGTGCATTAATCAAAATCATACATTTGTGTCAGTAACCAATTATTGTCTTCACTAGCTGAGAAGTGTAGGGACCCCAAAACCTGGTGATCTTTGAATCTCTACCAACGGTCAGGGCTGTGCACCACCCAGTTAATAATGGTAGCTGAAGCATCATCCCCACCTTAGTTCCTTGTTGATTATTGTTGATTAGATATTCTGCCTGTTACTGGAACTTGCCTACCTAAGGGTCATGCTATGACCTAGTCTGTGTGTCATTGAAACCTCCTTATCCTAGGGTTACCCCAGATCATATAAAAGATTGGAGCGGCCTGAGCATCAGTGGAAGTCTTTCTCTTTGAGTTGGACTTGCCCGCCTGGCTCCCCAATATTTCAAATTATCTCGTGTCTTTTCTCTTTCATTTGTGTGCGGCTCTGCTTCTAGGTCCTGAACCCTGACCCACGCGGGACGTGGGAAGGAAACACACACGACACATTTCTTTTGGCAAACTGGCAAAATATATATCTTGGTGGACCACAGAATTTCTGTAGTTAGCTCATATGTGCCATGAGATAAAAACAATGCTGAAATCTTTTACAAAAAAAATAGATTTCTTTATTGATTTCAGAGAGGAAGGGAGGATAGAAACATCAATGATTAAAGAGAATCCCTGATTGGCTGCCTCCTGCACACCCCCAGTGGGGATCGAGCCTGCAACCCAGACATGTGCCCTTGACCAGAATTGAACCTGGGACCCTTCAGTCCGCAGGCTGACGCTCTATCCACTGACCCAAGTCGCAGTGGTCGGCAAACTCATTAGACAACAGAGCCAAATATCAACAGTACAATGATTGAAATTTCTTTTGAGAGCCAAATTTTTAAAACTTAAACTATATAGGTAAGTACATTGTTATTAACTTAATTAGGGTACTCCTAAGGCTTAGGAAGAGCCACACTCAAGGGGACAAAGAGCCGCATGTGCATCGCGGGCCGCAGTTTGCCGACCACGGGTAGGGCAATGCTAAAATCTTTGACTTAAGAGCTTTTAACCTCACAGCAGAAGAATATGCATTCTGGAAAAAATGAAGACAAGAATACCCTCTAACCCAAGGGACAATGTCTACTTCATCTATTTTCCTAATGACCATGTGAAAAAAAAGTCTTATGTATATTTTACATCAATACACTTCCTCCATATTCCTCACTACAGTACCAAAACATGGAACCGAATTCCTATGAATGATCCGGATCCAATAGTTTGTCCGGAACAGAACAAAACCATAAAGCCCCTGGGCCAGATAGTGAGAACTAGAGACAAAATATCAGGAGATTCTTATACATATGAATGCTCCATGGGAATGTCAGGAAGCAGAGTAGAAGAGTATCCAATATCTAGTTTCTTTAATCATTGTGTGATCCTTTGGGTTGGCCCATGCCAAGCATCTGATATTTACCAGCTTGTACAATTTACAACAGTACATTGGAGAAGCAATGACTGTGGGGCTTTCATTTCAATCTCTGCTAGCTTCCTGTCCCTGGAACTTATAGTGATGGCTTGGAAAACACAGGAAGAATAACTATTGCCTATAAACATACCTGTGGTCATGCTATCACTATACAATGTAACTTTTGATGCAAAATAAAATTCTTCAACTGCACATCTGCCATGGTCTCTGCGGTTCCTCTAGAAAGAATGACCAACATTCAGCTACATTCAAGTAATTAAGAGTAAAATCAGTTTTACGCCAGTTGATTCTACCCCAAGAAAAAAGTTAATGAGGTTACATTGAGAAATTCTTCAGAGTTCCAATGAAAATCAGGACAAGAAAAATCACTCCAGTTATAAAGTACACAGAAGCCAATTTATTATATTCCAAAAATTAATAATATTCAAAACTTTAGAATCCTGCTAAAAATAGAATGGTGGGTTCCTATTTCATGAATGTAAAGTTATATATTTGTCAAATTCTGATGTCAGTTACATCATTAGTAAAATTCCAAAGTACTGAACAGAAGCTACAGGGGCCTGAAGGGCTGATGTGGGGGAGGAAGAAGTTTAGATGCCATTATTATAGCACAGACAGGAAAAGAGATGGGGCTATAGAGACATCAATGATGAGAGGGAATCACTGATCGGCTGGATCCTGTATGACCCACACCTGGAATTGAGCCCCCAACTGGGGCTTGTGCCCTGAGCAGGAATTGCACCCTGACCTCCTGGTTCATACATCTAAGCTAAACCACTGAGGCAAGCCAGTCAGTGCTTTCTCACATTTTTATAGTTTAAAGCTTTTCCCCACTATAAGAATCCGATATCCATTACATCTATAGGTATAGGATCTTGCACATGCTCTGCATGTTAAAGGTTTCTCCTTCAGTATGAAGTCTCCCATGTATTGTAATATATGAATGGATTTCAAAGGCTTTACTTTTTCACATTCATAAGGCTTGTTCACAGTCAGAATTCTGTGATGTTCAGTAAGTTCTCACTGCTGGTCAAGGATTATGACACTTCACATATCTGTAATACTTCTCTCAAGTATGAACTCTTCTGTACAATAAGGCAAAAATACTGATTAAAGGCTTTGTTACATGCTTACATTTATAAGGCTCCTATCCAGTATGACCTCTCTGATGTGCAGTAAGGTTTGAGGAGCTGCCAATGGATGTGCTACATTCTCTTCATTCATGTGGCTTCTCTCCAATATGAACTTTCTTATGCTTACCAAGTTGTGAGGACCGTCTAAAGGCTTTACCACATTCTCTACATTTAAAAGGCTTCTCTCCAGTATGGACACTCTGATGTCGATTAAGGGAGGAGGAAGATGTAAAGGCTTTGCCACATTCTCTACATTTATAAGGCTTCTCTCCAGTATGAACTCTCTGATGTTGATTAAGAGAGGAGGAAGCACCAAAGGCTTTGCCACATTCTCTGCATTTATACGGCTTCTCTCCAGTATGAACTCTCCGATGATGATGAAGAGAGGAGTAACCAGTAAAGGCTTTGCCACATTCTCTACATTTATAAGGTTTCTCTCCTGTATGAATTCTCTGATGTCTATTAAGAGAGGAGGATTCGCTGAAGGCTTTGCCACATTCTCTACATTTATAAGGCTTCTCTCCAGTATGAACTCTCTGATGCGTAGTAAGGTGTGAGAACGATATAAAGGCTTTGCCACATTCTCTCATTTGTAATGTTTCTCTCCATTATGAATTTTCTGATGTCGATTCAGGTTTGAGACAGAAAGGAATTCTTTACCACATTCTCTACATTTATAAGATTTTTTTCCACTGTGGATTTTTTTCTTGAATATTTGACTGGAGATTATAACACGAGGATTCCATTTGTCAGCTTTCTCCCCAGGATGAATATTCTCTTGTTCAGCGTAATTTGAAGACTGTTGAAAAGACTGGACAGATTTATTTCCTTTGTGTATCATATCTACAATAGGAATAACCTCACGTATTTTGTGATTGCACCTTGGGTAACAGACTCTTCCACTTTTATAATGCTCCTCTGCAAACTCGCTTCTCTGATGATTAAGATATGACTCTTGCTTAAATTTTTTCCAATTTTCATTCCATTGATAACTTCTGTCTCCATTATATGTACTCTGGTAGTAATGGGAGATGGAAAGACTTTTACTGACAGTTATAATTTCATTAAACATGTACACTTGTTCCAAAAGAACCATTTTGTGATACTCATTAAACCAAGATAGTTGTGTAAAAAAAGCTCTAATTTATTAAAATTATAGACAAAATTAAATACAAAACAATAACTGTCAGAGGAAGAATGAATTCTTGTTTACAAGACCGCCAGCCCTAACGTGTTTGGCTCAGTGGATAGAGCATTGGCCTGCGGACTCAAGGGTCCCAGGTTTGATTCCAGTCAAGGGCATGTACCTTGGTTCCAGGCACATCCTCAGTAGGGAGTGTGCAGGAGGCAGCTGACAGATGTTTCCCTCATCAATATTTCTAACTTTCTATCCCTCTCCCTTCCTCTCTGTAAAAAAATCAATAAAATATATAAGAACAACCAAAAACAGATTGCCAAATTGCTGAGCCAGCAAGATTCAATGGTTGAGTATCAAAATTTGAGCCAGAAGGTTGGTTCCATTCCCCATCAGGGCACAAGCCCTGGGTTTGGAATCAGTCCCCAGTGTGAGGAATGCAGGAGGCAGCCAGTCAATGATTCTCTCTCATCAAGGATGTTTGGCTATCTCTCTTCATCTCCCTGTCTATCTGAATCGAAAAAAATATATTTTGAATAGAATAATAATAAAAGTACTAGCTGGTTTGGCTCAGTAAATAGACCTTTGGAAAGCAGACTGAAGGGACCTGGGTTTAATTCTAGTCAAGGGCACATGCTCAGATTGCGGGTTCCATCCTCAGTAGGGGGCATGTAGGAGGCATCCAATCAATGATTCCCTCTCATCATTGATGTTTCCATCTCTCTCCCTTCCTCTCTGAATTCAATAAAAATATATTTAAAAGTGATAATAATCCTATATAATAAAAGCCTAATATGCTAAGTGTCCATTCCTCTGGTCATCCATTCAGCCAAGCAAAGTATAATATGCTAATGATATGCTAAGGCCGCTCAACCGCTCACTATGACATGCACTGACCATCAGGGGGCAGACGCTCCGACCAGTAGGTTAGCTTGCTGCTGGCGTCCGTAGATCGGGACTGAAGAAGATGGGCCAGATACACCCTGGAGTCCTCCCATGGTCCCTCGCCGGCTGGCCAACCTCCTGTATCCCTCCCCAGCCCCAATCTTGCACCCGTGGGGTCCCTTGGCCTGAGCTGCACCCTCTCATAATACGGGACCCTTCAGGGGACGTCGGAGAGCCAGTTTCAGCCCCATCCTGCAAGCTAGGCTGAGGGACCCTACTGGTGCACAAATTTGTACACCGGGATGCTAGTAATAATAATAATAATAATAATAATAATTGCCCAATTGCGAATATTTAAATTTTATAGGTATATTGTAAATCTCTATATTTTAGAAATTATTGCATGAAAATTTAATCCATCCTACATTTAAAAAATTCAAATGATTATATACACTACAGAATATGTGAACTCCTACTTTATCCAGATTTCCTTTCCAAGAATGCATAACATTAAAAGTTGTTTTCAACTTTCACCTGCAGAAACACACTAATCTGCCAGTGTAACTGACTTTAAAGCAGAAGATTTCTCAAATGCATAATACACTTCACCTTTAGGTAACAAGAATTTTATTATGAGAACTGTTCCAGATTAGTTCTGTTTATACTAATAACCTCTTTCCTCACCACACTTTTCCTCAAATACCAAGACTTCCATTAAGTGTACATTATGAAAGCGACACCTTTTATATCTTACCAGCATCATTTCAGAGAATAAATCTTGTATTCTGGTCTTGGGCATAAAGGCCAGGTCATCAGATGACATAGCTGAAAGAAAACAAATTTTCAGCGTTTTTCTGCCGGTGAACGCCGTGGAGTAAGCATTGTTGGAATTTCCCCTGTTGCAGTCATCATGTCTAAGTCTGAGTCTCCCAAAGAGCCGGAGCAGCTGTGGAAGCTCTTTATTGCAGGTTTCAGCTTTGAAACAACCGCTGAGAGTCTGAGGAGCCATTTTGAGCAATGGGGAACGCTGACGGACTGTGTGGTGATGAGAGATCCAAACACCAAGCGCTCCAGAGGCTTTGGGTTTGTCACTTATGCCACTGTGGAGGAGGTGGATGCAGCCATGAAGGCAAGGCCACACAAGGTGGACGGAAGAGTGGTGGAACCAAAGAGGGCTGACTCAAGAGATTCTCAAAGACCTGGTGCCCACTTAACTGTGAAAAAGATTTTTGTTAGTGGTATTAAAGAAGACATTGAAGAACATCACCTAAGAGATTATTCTGAACAGTATAGGAAGATAGAAGTGATTGAAATCATGACTGAACGAGGCAGTGGCAAAAAGAGAGGCTTTGCTTCTGTAACCTTTGACGACCATGACTCTGTATACAAGACTGTCATTCAGAAATACCATACTGTGAATGGCCACAACTGTGAAGTAAGGAAAGCTCTATCTAAGCAAGAGATGGCTAGTGCTTCGTCCAGCCAAAGAGGTCGAAGTGGTTCTGGAAACTTCGGAGGTGATCGTAGAGGTGGTTTTGATGGAAACGACAACTTTGGTCGTGGAGGAAACTTCAGTGGTTGAGGAGGCTTTGGTGGCAGTCCTGGTGGTGGTGGGATGGTGGCAGTGGGGATGGCTATAATGGATTTGGTAATGATGGTGGTTACGGAGGAGGCGGCCCTGGTTACTCTGGAGGAAGCAGAGGCTATGGAAGTGGTGGACAGGGTTATGGAAACCAGGGCAGTGGCTATGGTGGGAGTGGCAGCTATGACAGCTATAACAACAGAGGAGGCGGAGGCGGCTTTGTGGGTGGTAGTGGAAGCAGTTTTGGAGGTGGTGGAAGCTACAATGATTTTGCCAATTACAACCATCCATCTTCAAATTTTGGGCCTATGAAAGGAAGAAACTTTGGAGGCAGAAGCTCTGGTCCTTATGGTGGTGGAGGTCAATACTTTGCCAAACCACGAAACCAAGGTGGCTATGGCAGTTCCAGCAGCAGCAGTAGCTATGGCAGTGGCAGAAGGTTTTAATTACTGCCAGGAAACAAAGATTAGCAGGAGAGGAGAGCCACAGAAGTGACAGGGAAGCTACAGGTTACAACAGATTAATGATTCTCTCTCATCATGAATGTTTCTATTTCTCTCACCATCTCTTTCTCCTCTAAAATAACAAAAAAATGTATTTTTAAAAAATAAAAAATAATAAAATCTTAAAATCTCTTCTATAACACAAACAACATTAAAAATACTGTGATAGCCGAAACCGGTGTGGCTCAGTGGATGGAGCATCGGCCTGCAGACTCAAGGGTCCCAGGTTCGATTCTGGTCAAGGGCATGTACGTGGGTTGCGGGCACATCCCCAGTGGGGGGTGTGCAGGAGGCCACTGATTGATGTTTCTCTCTCATCGATGTTTCTAACTCTCTATCCCTCTCCCTTCCTCTCTGTAAAAAATCAATAAAATATATATAAAAAAAAAATACTGTGATATCAACTTATGTTGGTACATGGGTAGAAATCACAACCAGCAGAGATTTTGTATGAAATTGACAGTATGGTTTAAGGTACATTGTTATAATATTAAGATATTTTAAGTACTTTCCATGGTGACAACAAAAAATAGAAAACAAATAAAATGATTATCGGCTAAGAGGTGACACTTCTGTATTGGAAATCACAGACTCCACATTTCTAAAAATATATATACACTAATGGCCCCTTGAACAAAGACTCACGCCATAGGCCTTCCTTCCCCTGGATGCCGGCACCAGTTTTTCTCTGGCACCCAGGACCCAGGCCTTTAGTCTGACGCACCAGCGAGGAGTGGCTTCTCTGCTCCGGCTGCTCCCAGCCCCTGCTTTTTATCCCCCCAGCTCCTCGAGCAGAGGCCAGGGCTGGCTGGAAGCCTGGGTTGCCCCCGGCGACCCAGGCCCCCAGCCATTCCTTGAGCGGAGTCCTGGGTCAGTGGGAAGCTTGGCTTCCTCCGTCACCAAGAGCAACGCAAGCCTCCTGCTCGCTCCAGCTCCAAGGTCACCGCCATCTTCAGTCGTCTTCAGTATTCACTCCGTGCCTCCGTATGCAAATTAAACATAATCTTTGTTGGGTTAATTTGCATAGTCGCTCTAATTGGCTGCTGGGTATAGTGGAGTGGCAGAGTGATGGTTAATTTACATATTTCTATTTTATTAGTGTAGATATGTATATAGAGATATAGGGATGTATATATATTTAATTTCTCAAAACATGGTATATAAAACCAACCAATGAACTTAGCTCTGTTCCTACTAAAAGTAGATCAAGTTAAATAGGCCATGAACCAAAATGAACCCAGTATGCATTAACAAATAAAATATCAGACCGCCCTAGCTGGTTTGGCTCAGTGGATAGAGCATTGGCCTGCGGACTGAGGAGTCCCAGGTTCGACTCCAGCCAAGGACACGTGCCTGGGTTGCGGGTTCAATCCCCCGTAGTGGACCTGTTGGAGGCAGCAAATCAATGATTCTCATCATTGATGTTTCCTTCTCCCCTTCTCCCTTTCTCTCTAAAATCAATAAAGAAATATATGTGAAAAATTAATTTAAAAAAATAAATAAATAAAATATCAGCCTTAAAACCATGAAGACACTGAAAGAAAGCATAGTCAATGAACTTTACCATCACTCTTAAAAATACTGGTTTGCATATATCTTCCTAAGCATAACAAAGCAGCTAAAAAATAAAGAAATGAGACTACAAAAGAATAAGTTTGGCATACCAAAAGAAAACGCAAAATAACAACCCAGGAATGTTACATCCTCAAAAGCTAAAGATCCAAAATATATAAGGAACTCACACAATATATCACCAAAAAAAAACAACAACATAATTGAAAAATGGGCAGAGGACCTGAACGGACATTTCCTAAACAGGACATAAAGATGCACAATAAACATACTGGTATTAAATGACATTCAACCCCTTCAGCATCAGAGAAATGAAAATGGACACCACCATGAAATACCACCAAACACCTAACAAGATGCCAATCATCCATAAATCAAAAAACGACAAGTATCACCAATGAAGTGGAGAAATGAGAACAATCATGCATTGTCAGCAAAATTATAAACACACTAGAAGCCCAGTGCACAAATTTGTGCACAGGTGAGGTTCCTTGGGCTGGCCGGCGATCAGGGCTGACTGGCCAGGAGGAAGGCCCGCAGAAGGTTGGCCGGCCAAGGCTGGTTGGCTATGGGAGCACATGGACCACCGGGCAGGCTCGAGGGAGGAATCACGG